TATGCAATTGGAAATTAAAGTGTTTATAGTTTATTTATTGGATTTTTCCTGAATCAATTCTTTCATCACATAAATATGAATGATTTCAAAATCAATAGCAATAAATAATAAATTCAAGCTAGTATGCAAGGTTCTTCCAATAAACAATAGGCTGTTAGTGACATTTGCAAAATCATTCTAAAACAATCAAATATTCTGTAACAGAGCTTGATAATCAATGAGAATCTAGCTATAAATCAATTTTCAGAAACTAGAGTACTAGGTCTAGGATTTAATCTATAAATTTTTTGAATGTTTAGATCAGATTTCTATCTTGCCACATAGAACTCGATGTTGCAAAATCATTCTAAGTAATAAAGGATGCTGAACAAGTGTATAATATACATTTTCAAATTAAAATTATCAGAATTATCCGTACAGCTAAATTTATCAAATTCACAATTATTTAGCATATTTTATATCATCTACCCTCATTTCACAATAAATGAAATATGATAATATGATGATATTCATCACTATGAATAATTCTTTCTTACAGTGTATTTACATAATAAATTACATTAAACTTTACAAAACTTGCACAGCAAAGTTATTAAAGGAAAATTTTATGCATCTTAACTTTCCTCAATCAATACATTTACTTTTTTTATTGTCTACAGAAACTTTTAAAAGTTTGCAACCTTCTTTTATCAACTAAAATGAAGAAATCATAAATTTTTATCAACTCAAAACACAGAATTTTGTTTGAAAGATATTACAATGATCAGATACAAGGTTCAAAAACCTTATATTAAAATACAAAAATTTGCACAGTTTCTCATATATGATTCGTATACATCTCAAAATTAAACTTTAACAATTATATATAATTTTATAATCGCCAAATTAAAATGTCAAAAGTCTGTTATTAAAGTTTAATATAAATATATTGAGTAATATGTATATTACACAATGTTTTATAACATTTAGTCATGACTAGTCAGAAGACAGGCTGCATCAGTTTCTATCTCAATTCCCGAAACAAATGACTCAATATTTATATAACTACAAGTCATTCATTTCTTAACTGTTTGAATTTAATTATGTTCTAAACTTTTAAGATATTACAAATTAAAATAAAGAAAAATAGCACGAATTCAAGATGTACTTTGATATTGGTAAACAACAAATCAAAGTTTATCAACAATACAAATGTTAAATTCCAGTTTGATAGATTAAAACTTTAAATAAAATAATGGATAATCTGTATTTAAATTTAAACAAATAACTAAAATGTCTACTTTAATAATTAAAAAAATGTTCTCTAAACTTAAAATCTTGTTCAGTTCACAAACTAACAAAATTTTATATTTAAATTCAGAAAAACAACAATTATTATATTGAAAGTTCAAATTAAAAATATAATTTTAATGACAAATTCTTGTCATTAAAGCTCCTCAATTGCAAAATTAATAAAGCATGAAAAAGCTAAAACTGGATGACTAGACTAGATGGAAATAATTTTTAATTAAAAGTTATTTCCATCCTAGTCTAGTCAAACATTTCAGCCTTTATAGTAAACTAGAACTAGTTTTAGTTTATTTTAAATTTTGCACATTTGACTTGCTCCATACATTTCAATATATAATTGGTTTATTCAACTTTAAACCCAATGACATCTAATTAAATCAGTCAAAAAATTACCTTACTGTAATATTCACTGCCAGATACATAAGGTTGTTTCTCCACATTATACTTAGTAAGTTTATAAAGAAATTAACAAAAACTTCTGAAAAAAGTTAAATCCAAAACTCCATATGTTAGCCAAACATTATGAGAAAATTAATAAAAACACAACACAATCTTGAAAGGATGATAAGGCATATTTTTATAAAACTCATTCAAACAATCTTTTCCATCTTTAAAATTTAATGCATTTTTTTCTGAGAAAATAACTTATAAATAATATATATTCAGTGGCAGATTAAGACCTTCTGGGCCCCCTCTACATGATTTTACATTTATTATATTCACACAATGCTTAGATGAGAAAACAAAAACACATACTCTGTTTTTGAACTTCAAAGTGGTCTATTCATTATCTTATCTAGGAAGTCCATTCTTCTTGAGGACTAAACTGTTATAACGTCCAACCTAAATTTTGTAAAAAATTTTATAACATTTATGCATGAGGCTTAATCAAATGAGTTAGCATCACATGATTTTAGACTTGTTTATAAGCAAGATCTTATTTGAGGATTTGGCATCCTTTAACATTGAAAACAATGGTTACAATTTCTGACTATAACTATCATGTCTTTTAGCTCAATATATAACTGGTTCAGGTCCTCTGGTGGCAGTTTTGGGTAATCATAAACTTCATTTGCATAAAAGAGTACATGATAACAACCCAGGATATCTTCAATTAGAATTTAATTATGACTATTTACAAAAATTATAAAATTTTCGAGTATCTTTCATCGTTTTCACACTACCACAGAAGTTTCAAATAAAAGGTCAGTGTTTTGATCAGTATTTCGGCCACATTATGAGAAACAAAAAATATCATCTCATACAAATAATAATTCAAGGTAAAGTCAAAGGTAAACATGGCCCAAGCAGAAGAAAAACATTCTGGCTCAAAAATTTACAACATTGGTTTGGGTTTAGTACCAGATCACTATTCAAAGCAGCTGACAACAAAGTCAAAATCATGCTACTGGTTGCCAACGTTCTTGGAGGACAGGACACAATGAAGAAGAATTTTTGATCAATTTTAACTTTGAAGATTTTTTTCATAATTTATCATTTGTTTTAATGAAGTTTATTCAAGCCAATATACTGTTACTTCCGTGATAGTGTGAAAAGGATGGAAGATAGATGTGAAAATTTTATATTTGTAAATAGTCATAATTCAATTCAAATTGAAGATATCCTCAGTTGTTATCATGTAAGCTTTTATGTAAATTTAAACTAACGTAGGTACAAGAACAGCATGCACATAGAGATAAATTAATATAAAATAACAAATAAATTAGATAAAATAATAAGATAAATTTATATGCCATTAGTAAATTTAGAGTTATGGCAAGTTTTTATACAAGTCAGGATAATTAGAAATATTAGATTGTCTAAGTATGCAGCAACAGTAGAAAGGATAGAAATATTCAAACAAAAGTTAAAGGGATTGTGCTAATCACAAAAGGTGGAAAAACTTTCCTTATGGCATGGAATTTCTTACTAATACTAAGATGACAATGTAGATTGCAACACAGAGATGTTATTACAGTTTAATGTTAATGATATGTTTAAGAGTTAACTGTTTGAAAATGTTTGTTTTTAAGTTTGATTTATTTTGTAACATTTGAATGATATCATTCTAAAAAGTTGTATCCTGAAGAGGATCTATAGACTAGATAAAAAGCATTACAGTACATTTTTATTTTCTACACTCTCATCTAAGCAGTGGATGAATATAAGTAGCCAAAGTATCAAAGGCAATCATATAAACATAATAATGTAGCTATAGAATTAATTATAAACTATAATATACAATTGTAATGGTAAGACTGCTTTATTATTTTTCCAATTTCAGAGCTCAGAGTCCCATGTCCCCAGGCAAGCCAGCCATGTGCCTAGTGAGAAATTCAACACCGAACATATTCAACTGTTTTTTGATCATTTTGATTTGTTGTTTACAGTAATGCAACACCTGGTGATCTGACAGAGGAGGGATGCTTCCTGGGAGAACTTTCTGTGGGAAACCAGCCCCTATTTAGTTGTAAATGACACTGTTGGGATCTCAACAGATCTGTATAGCATGCCCAAAGGAGAAAAAAAATTCAAAGGACTCTTATCTCTAAATATGATCCTTGGCTAGATAGTCTCCCAAAATCAGCCTATTTCCAGGGTGCAATCAGGAATCATATTGGGCACTCTACTAAGACTACTAAGACTCTACTGTGCATTTAACTATATAGCTTTGAGCAGCCCACTTGACTGTTTGTGAAGTACTAGATGTTATATAATTTTAGAGGTGGAGGGCTCGCCCCACACAGATGTCAAGGTGCAAGCAGTAGCAAGCACCAAAGTGCACGACCACACATACACTGCCACAGGGCACAGAGAACAGGCAGTAGTACTGGTTCAAGGTAACAAGTGTTTCTGGTCAGAAGTTAATGAATTTATTATTTATGTTAAAGCCCTGGTCACTGCACCTAAAACAACTTGCTTGCAAACACGACGGCAACTTGAACTGTAGCCAGTGGAGTTTCATATTTGGAGCAAATATCTAGCCAAAGGTTTCATGTCGGACTTTTCTTTACAGTTAAAAACCATGCCGGGCCATCTGATAAACACACGACAGGCACAGTGGAGCATGCAGCGTGACTCCCCATAGTGCCCGGAAGTAGGCCAATTTCAGACAGGCTACATCTCACCAAGGGTTGCACATAGAGGTACAGCTCCTTTGACTTTTTTGCTCCCACGGGCTTGCTCTACAACCCCATTATGTTCCCAATAATGGCATTCACACCTGTAATCTTACCTGGAAAACTTCACTGCAACCAACCATCAGCATCTGGCAGTGCCATCCACTCGGCCACCGGCAGGCATGGTCAAAAGGAAGCAGAGACAATACTCACTCAAAAGACTCAACATAAAAAATAATTATATATAAATGTATGGATATTTATAGTTTTCCAATATTTAAAAAAATTGTGAAACCAATTCCACATGTTCTAATTTAGAATGTGAATCTTGTGTAAGACCGAAAACATTTATTTACAGGGCCATACGTAGAACTGTCAAAAATTAAATTTAAAAATCCTCAAACTTTTTAATAGAATTATTCGACAAATTTACCGATTTCATTCCAACTATGGCATAAAATCGGGATAGAATTTATAAAATTAGGAGAAAAACAGGGCAGAATTTATAAAATCAGAGAGGAAAAAGGAAAAGAATTTATAAAATTAGAGGGGAAAAAAGGGAAGAATTTCTATTTAAATCTCCCGACTTACCCATATACACAAGGGCTCTTGTATCATGAAGTAAACGACATCGATCAATCTCTTGACCAAAGGATGATTTAGAACCAAATCTTCGATATTTAATATAATATTTTCGATCGATTCGTCCAATTTTGTTCTATTTAATAACTTCGAATCTTCGTCTGTCGTCACGTTTAATTTCCAATTCGGTTGCGACGTTACTTGAACGGCGTAATATACGGAACAAGATAATAATAAAACACTTATGGCTATGTAAGTTTGTAAACTGGGAAGGGGTAACCTATCTAAAAACACGGCGGGCATCTTCTTTGCTGGAAAACTTCGCTTTCGGGTATCAAAAATGGAATCGGACGACAAACATATCCTAAACCTAACCCACCGACCCACATCAACACCGACGGATCCTTAACTTCTTGTGACGTCATGTATTAATCCGCCCAATAAAAAAAATTAAGACAAAATTCGACCGTTTGAATCGAACTAATTAGTAAATAAACGGTAAATTAATTAAAAACGATACGTTGGATTTATTATTTTGCGTATTGTAAAATACTCGTTCTTCGCATTATTTATATTTGTTGTCGGTTAGGGTAAAGTTGACTAATTTTCCCTTCCGTCTTGAAAATTTAGGGAAATATTTTCTGACGTACTTGACTTTCTACTACTGAAATTTCGGTGATGTTTCCGGGAGTGTTGAAATTTGATAATATAAATGTAGAATAATAAACATGAAAGTATGACGAATTAACGAAATTTTTACATACTTAATATTATAAAACTATTTACAACCGTAATTTTTAATTTGTAAAGTTACGTTTAATATTGTTTAAAATTAATCTTAGGGATAATCTACTGAAATTTTTATCAGCGTGGTAAATTCGGTTGTCGTTAATTTAAGGCGATTAGTTTAAAGTGATTGTAAGAAGGCGTAATGAGTTTCTATACTTCTGGCGACGAGAATTACTTTTCCATCGATGATATTTTGGCAACGAACGAAAGGATTCCTTGCCGATTGGAATTACCATTATATAAACTTGGTTTGTATGTTGCTGGTGGTAGAAGTAACTCTAGGTCATTGATTTTTGTGAATGTAGATATGTATACATATCTACATTCACACAATGTGTGTATGTTTACAGGGTGCCTCCCTCAAAGATCCCTAGTTTTAAACTCTTGTAAAATCTATTCGTTCAGATATGTGAATAAAGCGTGCATGAGAATGTTGGTCGATACTCCGAGTTTCCTGTGCAAACATTCAGAAGGGCTACTGTTGTCCCACGGGGCCCCAGCAACCTGTGCTTCGCGGTGCAGGTCGCTGGCATCTTGTTTTCCAGTCTGCTAGATGTCGTCTCTTCGAAAACTTTTCTTTCAGGGCACATCGAGGATCACATATGATGCAAATGTGTTGAATGTGCGAACCTTGTGTATGAGAATTGCAGATAATGTTTAGGGTGTGATTCTTAATTCATTGGCTTGGGGCACAGACCGAAATCATGAGTGGACCGGATGTACATTGGGAGAGTATGTGGAAACATACCAATTTAATGTAGTAACTAACTTTCTTGGATGCACTTTCTACCGTTGTCTACAGTACTGTACTTATGTTTCTTTTTCCAAAATTGATTTACAGAATTAGGGAATTTGAGGGAACACCCTCTATATATGACATACCTTAACTTTCTGGCAACAAACTTTTTCTAAGAAACATTTTTAATGCCCATCGTCAAGTGGTCTCAAAATAGAATGTCACATTAGGAATGAGAAAGACAGAGTGCACAGTCTACAAATTCAAATTTAAAGATCTTAATTATTCCTAAAGCTCAAACATTATATAGGATGTTATACAAGTTTTAAATTGACAGTTATAGGGAACAAAAATAAAAAGAAACACATTAAAATTGATACAAATTTAAACTTAGTAGCACTAATAAGTGTGGATTGGCCTGACATTATCACATCATTATATGAAGAGAAATGAAAATGTGAAGGGTTGGAAAATTTGCTATTATTATTATTATTATTATTTTGGGTTTAGTGGGTTATACTTGGTTAACACCGGTGGCTATGTACTAGCTGGACCAGAGTCAAGGCATAACAACCAAAACAAAACTAAAATTAAATAAGTGTGTCTGTGTCTGTATTCAGGAATTTCCTAACAATATGGCATGTACTCAATATAGTGGCCTTCTGTAGTGTGATGTATGTATTTCTATTCAGTTGTAATGTTCCCAGGCTTTTGTACAGTGTGTTTGGATCACACCTGTAGAGGAGAAAACAACAAGTATAATAAGTACCCTATCCATCCTCCACAGATACCTTATTTCCTGGGCAAGTTCTGTGTACTTGCTATTTTTTCAGTGCATGTGTTTTGTATATTGTAAGTGTTTGGAATGGATATGTTTATAATGTATGTGATTTTATTGTGTTTGTCAATGAGTGTGATGTCTGGTCTGTTGTGGTAAATTGTTTTATCTGTGATTATGGGTCTCACAGTGACTGTATTTGTTTGAAGTGAAGGTTAGCTATGTCAATCAGTCCACATCCGCCATCTTTACGAGGAAGGGTTAATCTTTCTGTGGCAGATTTAGGATGTTGTTTATGCTTAGTAAGTGTTGTTCTTGTTTTCATTTGGAGTTGCTCGAGATCTGTGTGAGTCCAATGTATAACTCCAAAAGAATAAGTGAGTACTGGGACAACACATATGTTTATTGCTTTAACTGTGTGTTTTACATTTAACTATGTTCTGAGAATAGCATTTAACCTACTTTGGTATTCTTTAATTAATCTTTGTTTTATATGTGTATGTTCTGTTAGTTTGGCCTGTTGGAATCCTAAATACTTGTAAAACTCTTCCTCTGTCAGGATATTTAATAATGTTTCCATTTCCAAGTGCAAAATCTTCTTTCTTCAGGTTTTCTTTTTCTATGTGAAATGTTTTGCATTTATCTAGGCCAGGGGTGTCCAGCCCATGGGCCACATGCAGCCCAAGGCAAGTTGCAATGCAGCCCAATAAACGTGTAAACAAAACCAACAAATGTTTTAATTAATTAATTTATTTATTTATTTCAACAGCATAAATTCAAAAAAAAGTTTCACAAAGCCATAAACCTTTATTCATATTTTATTTTTGAGTGGAAAGGAAATATTTTCAAATACTTGGAGATGTGTGAATAAGAAAGAATTACTAAATAAAGCTGCAGTTGTGACTCAAAGGATTAGAGACCCAAATTTGGGGAAAGGCGAGAAAGGCCAAAAGATAAAAAGTAGTGAGAAAGGTTAAATAGATCTTCTGTTATGCAAATATTGATGTTACTGTGAATAACCGATATCTGGCGAATGTCAACATTCTCCGGTGAATGTCAGCATTCACACAGTTGTTTTGTGTATGTACGAAATATTTGCTATAAATAGATCAGTATC